AACAGTAATACATGTAGCTTTTCTGTCTAGAGTTTCTCAATGGTTTATCTTCAAAAAACAAAATATATTGTCTGAACAAATTTATTAATATTATTATTAGTAGTGTTTTTGCATTGTTGGGGATCTAACTGAGGACCTCATGCATGCTAGTATTATTTATTTTTGAGCATATTGTGGCCTCTAAATGAATTGCATCTGTGTTTTCAAGCATATTCATGCTTGTAATCTCATTTTTAAATGTTTTTCTATTCAATTACCACCTGAGATTTTTTTTTTTTAAATCAACAAACCCAGCATGGTGACACACACCTGTAATCCCAGCTACTTGGGAGGCTGAGGCAGGTGGATCACAAATTCCAATCTCAGCCTCAGTAATTTAGCAACACCCTCTCTCAAAATAAAAAAGGGCTGGGGATAGAGCTGATTGGTAATGCCTCCTGGGTTCAATCCCCAATACCAGAAAAAAACTTAGCAAAACCATTTGCCCTCCAATAAATATATATTAAGTGTTTACAAAGTCAGGAACTTGCCAAGCATTATTTAAAACTAACCCTCCCCCCCTCCCCCCTCCCTCCCCTATATTAGTAAATATAGATAATTTCAATCCTATTGTATAGAAGTTCCATGCTCCATTTAACCAGGATTCTATTGTTGGGTTAGGGGTCTTGAGCATTTCATTATTATAAATGATGCAAATTGAATATCAAAATTGAGTGAGTCAATTAGCTTGAATCACTTCACAGAATGCTCAGCAAATAGCAAGCTCCTTATAAATGTTAGTATTATTTTTATATTGTCAAATTACCCTGTGTTAAGGTTGAACTAATTTATATTCCCAGCAGCAGGGGTGAGGGGGCTTATCTTCCCTAAATCCTCACTAATTGTATTGTATTGTTTGTTTCTGGTGCTGGGACTGAACCCCAGGCCTGTCTTACCATGCTAGGCAAGACCCTAGTTGCATGTATTTTTAAAATTAGACTAAAAAAGGAATGTCATTTTAAAAATGCAATCACCTAACAATAAATCAATCATCTAAATTCATTTCAAATGCCAATTATATTTAAGCCCTGCTTAAAGTAGAAAACTTTATTTTTAGACAACCCCTTATTAACAGAGTTTTGGGTGTTGAAAATTCCATGGTTTGTTTTTGAGCATTTTGAACCATTATATCCAGTTTGGTTTACCTTCCTGTACAAAAAGAATCATTTTTTTTTTCTTTTTTGCCCAACATGGTGGGGAACCCTGTAATCTCAGCAGCTAGAGAGGCTGAGGCAGGGGGATTGCGAGTTCAAAGCCAGCCTCAGCATTTTAATGATACCCTAAGCAACTCAGCAAATTTATAAATAAAATATTAAAAAGGGCTGAGATGTGGCTAAGCAGTTAAACACACCTGGATTCAATCCCTGGTACCAAGAAAAAATCATTTTATATTCTTCTAGTTTTACTGAGGCATATTTGGCAATGATTACCAAAATCAAGCTAATCAACATATCTGTCATTTCAGGTAGTTACTCTTTTTTAGAAAAAAAAAATTATATTTTTCTATTTTAGTAAGCTTTTTCACCACTTTGACCAAATGATCTGACAAGAAGAGTTTTAGAAAAAGAAAGTACATTTTGCACTCACAGTTTCAGAGGTTTCGGTCCATAGACATATAGACTGGGGCTCCATTGCTCTGGGCCCCAGTGAGGCAGAACATCATGGAGGAAGAGTGTAGTGGAGGAAAGCAGTTCAGAACATGACACCAGGAAGCAGAGAGCGAGCAAGCTCTCCTCACCACAAAGTATATACCCTGGCCATATATGGTGGCATGCACCTGTAATCCCAGCAGTTTACAAAGCTGAGGCAGGAGGATCCCAGATTCAAAGCCAGTCTCAGCAAGTTAGCAAGGCTGGCTGTAAAAGCAGTCCATTTTAGGCTTTGAATATAGCCCTCGCTGCTCTGCCACTGTGACTTAATTTTTAAAGGACATATATCCCTTCCTCTCTCCCTCCTCCTCGCTAATCTCTCCCCTTAATCTCAGGGAAAACAGGATCACTTTTCTTCCCCATCCAAGGCAGAATTACCTGTTCTTGAGGACACACCCACCACACGAAGGAAGTAATTAAGACTTTGGGGATGGCACCTGAAGATCTCCAAAGTGACTACCAAATTAAGAAGCGTGAGTGCGTATGAGTGAATTAAAACTCTAACAGAGAACAAATAGAGTGTAGCCTTTGCATCACCTGTTTTAAAAGCCCCCTGGTTGTCCCTGATGGGCAGAATACAGCCTCTGTGATAGGAGTCCTCTGGGCTTCTCCTTTGCTACAAAGCAATAAAACTTCTTTTTCTTTTTTCTCAAAACTCTGTCCTCATTATTGGACTGGCATCAGGGACAAGGACCAAACTTTTGGTAACAAAACCCTGTCTCAAATAAATAAATAAAAATAAAAAGGGAGCATGCTACAGGGACACTGCTACATCGATGTTCATAGCAGCACAATTCACAATAGCAAGACTGTGGAACCAACCTAGATGCCCTTCAATAGATGAATGGATAAAAAAAATGTGGCATTTATACACAATGGAGTATTACTCTGCATTAAAAAATGACAAAATCATAGAATTTACAGGGAAATGGATGGCATTAGAGCAGATTATGCTAAGTGAAGCTAGCCAATCCCTAAAAAACAAATGCCAAATGTCTTCTTTGATATAAGGAGAGTAACTAAGAACAGAGTAGGGTTGAAGAGCATGAGAAGAAGATTAAGATTAAACAGGGATGAGAGGTGGGAGGGAAAGGGAGAGAGAAGGGAAATTGCATGGAAATGGAAGGAGACCCTCAGAGTTATACAAAAGTACATACAAGAGGAAGTGAGGGGAAAGGGAAAAATAATACAAGGGGGACAAATGAATGTCAGTAGAGGGGGCAGAGAGAGAAGATGGGAGGGGAGGGGAGGGGGGATAGTAGAGGATAGGAAAGGCAGCAGAATACAACAGACACTAGTATGGCAATATGTAAATCAATGGATGTGTAACTGATGTGATTCTGCAATCTGTATATGGGGTAAAAATGGGAGCTCATAACCCATTTGAATCAAAGTGTGAAATATGATATATCAAGAACTATGTAATGTTTTGAACAGCCAACAATAAAACATTAAAAATAAATAAATAAATAAAGCCTTAAAAAAAAAAAATAAAAAGGGCTGGGGATGTGGCTCAGTGTTTAAGCACCCTTGGGTTCAATCCCTGTGACATAAAACAATATACATACATTAACAAAATATAATGGAGATATTCTTTTTAATGTTGCCTTGCTGAAACAAGGCCTCAAAACCTGGTTTAAAATTTTCTCATCTCCACGGAAATTTTCAGTAAAGGACAAAAGATTTCTACAATTTGAAAAGAAACCAGAGTATACAATGGAGATATTCTGTAGTCTTAAGTTTTTTTCTAGTCCTAGACTTCATTTTTTTGTGTGTGTTCCTTTAGTGTACATCCCACCATTGTAATGAATTGTTTAATGTCTTTCTTCTCTGCCAGACTGAGAGCTCTATGAAGGCAGGAAACTTATTTTAACATTATAGCCCCAGAATTTAGGGTAGTGCTGCCAGGATAGTAATTGCTTATAATCTATTTGTTCATTGTTTCATTGTTCCCTGAATCTTTCAGTCTACTTAAACTGGATCACTGCGATATATATATGATTTTAGGAAATCCGGCCTAAGTCTCCACTCAGTGTTATTTGAATGGGATCTAGTGACATATATATATATATATATATATATATATATATATACACATATACATACATACATACACACACACACACACACACACACACACAGAGTTATATATAGTAAAGTGAATTTTTTTGTACTAGGGATTGAACCCAGGGGCACTTAACTACTGAGTCACATCCCTTTCTTAATTTATTTATTTTATTTTGTATTTTGAGACAGGGTCTCCCTAAATTGCAATGGTTGGCTTTGAACTTGTGATTCTCCTGCCTCAGGCTCATGGGTTGCTGGGATTACAGACATGCCACGTGGAGCACAAAAGTGAATTTTAAAAGACAGATCACATATTTAGTGAAAAGGGAACACTCTTAATTAGGAGCCCTGGATTCTAGTCCCATCTCTGCAGTTATTTTAATGGTGGCCTTTCAAAAGTTCCTTAGTATTTGTGGGCCTGGTTCCTCGTCTGTAGTTCCTACATTAACTCTACAAATATGTACTGTCAACTGCATGCTGGCACTAGCTTAAGTGCTAGGGATTTAATAAATGTTACTCTACACTTGAACTTTTGCTAAGGGGATCATGTGCACAATCTCATAATCTTCTGTAAAACAGACACTTTTGTGTTATTTTCCAAACATTACTAGAAAGTGGTTGGGGATTTAGCTCAAGGGCAGAGTGCTTGCCTAGCCAATGCAAGGCCATGGGCTCCATCCTCAGTATTGAAAAAAGTTAGGAAAACACACACACATATATAGCAACCAAACTTTACAAAAGAAACCAAAGCATAACGAGGTGAAGTAACTTTCCGACAGGATTGGATTCCAGGCAGAGCGACTTAAAACCCCATTCCAATAACAACTGTGAATCCTTATTCTAGAATTGGATTACTATTTTAATGGCCTGCATTTTTATCTGAGCCCGGGTATACAGTGTGGAGCACTCTCTGGTCGACAAAAGGGTAAAAGAAGCTGGGTACTTTAGAGAAACCATCTAAAAGAGTGAAACTAGCGCAGCAGGAAGCAAAGCTCTTCGGCGCCGCCGGGGCAGCCTCTCAGCCGGGTAGAGAAGAAGTGGGAGGTGTCATCGAGTTGTACGCACTCACGCTTCTCTGGGCGTCTCATTGGGTACTGATGAACGTTCAGGTCACTCCAGCCCTGCGCGTTTCTCTGAACTCGACGAGGGGCGGGGAGAAAAGGCACGCTGCGTGCGCGCCGACCTTTTCGACGTCTGCGTGGGAAGGCGGCCCCTCCGCCTGGCGCAGAGTTCCTCTGCCCCGCCCCCCTCCTTCGGAGCGTCAGCTTCCTTGATCTCCCCACCTTTAGCTATACCAACGAGAGGACACCGCCAGCATCTAGAGCAGCCCGGCTAGGAGCGGGACTGAGTAGCAAGAACGTGAAAGGAAGCCGTGCCTTCCTATCCCCAAGCCATTCTAGACACGGGTGAGTGCCAAGGTCTACCTCCCCACCCCAAACTCACCCCGGAGCGGCTGGCCCCCTCCGCTTCTCCGGGGGAGGCCTGGGCCCTAGCTTGTTCCCAGCATGCTCTATGCGGGATGCCCGGGCAGGTGCTGAGGGAGAACCAGTGAGAGAGATGGAGAGCCACCTTCTTGGTGGCGCTCCCTTGGCACTAACATGGGGTCTTGGGGTGACCCTGTCCTACTCCTCACTTCTCCATTTTGTGGTTCTCCCTTTTACATAATCCACCTCACCCACCTTTACCTTCTAAAGCTACCACTTGGATAGTTTTTGCCTTGTTTCCGTGCGCAGTTTTAAGTTTCCGTCATGTTAAAAAATTCCTATCCTGTGCAGCCCCCAGTGTTACTTTTTTTTTTTTTTTGCCTCCCCAAATAGGAAAAAATATCCAGAAATAATTGGTGAAAATAATCCTGTAAAATTTGTAGATTTATTGCGTTTTAATTAATATTTTCTCAGCCAGGAGTAGGGTCCCCACCAAGAAGAATTCCGACACACGTATGCCATAATCAAGCAAAGAGGCGTGTGAATTAGCATATATTGGCCAAATGAAAACTGTGTAATACAAAATGCCAAAATCCTATATAAATTAAGTTTAGAGTGTATCTGACAATTCTTTAATTAAGCAGACCTTGTTTTTTGTTGCTTCTCACTTCTTGGAATTGTTTATTGATCAAGTTCTGTGAATGACACAAGAGAACCAACATCCTTCTTCTTTCCCCACCTCACACTCAGGAATTACATCTACCAATCTATTCCACACCTTGGCCTGATAGCAGTCAAAGTCCATTTCCTCTAGAATAAAACCATGGGAATGGTTTCCTTGTAGCAATGTGGTGCTGTTGGGTGCAAAACGTCATCAGAGGGCTGGGGTTGTGGCTCTGTGGTAGAGCACTTACCTTGCATGCATGGGGCACTGGGTTTGAGCCTGAGCACCCCATTAATAAATAAAATAAAAAGGTACTGTGTCCATCTACAACAACAACAAAAAAAATTTAAAGTCATTAGATGCCACATTTTTTAATTTATAGGAAAACAAGGTTATTCAGGAACTCATTTATTAAATTCTCAATAATATGGTAGAAGCACTGTTTAGATTATTAGTCCTTAATTGAAAAAGAATTAAACAGGTCAGGAGATCTGAGTTCTAGTCTACTAACACTGACTAGTTTTGTAAGTTTGGGTTACTTAACCTTGCAGTCCTCCATTTCCCTATCTGTAAAATGAGAAAAATGCCATTAGGTACCTTCTAAGGTTCCTTTCAACTTTGAGAAACAAGGGGGAAATCTAAATAGCTCACTAGAGTATTTTTTGTGGAGATAGAGAAGAGATTGGGGGGATTTTCAGCCTTTGCATAGACGTGTGCATACAATTTTCTCAGTAGTTGTATTTAATGTTTTCTTTTAATTTCTAATTGAAATGTATGTGTAGACTTTTCCCATTTTACTTCCCCAAAGAAGAAAATGTCTTTTGAGGAAGTACTAATGTTTATCAATGATCCCTATGCCTATATTTATTTATTTTTTCATCTAGATAGCTTCATTTTCATTGGGGGCTTTTATTCCATCATTAGTTGGGATGAGGCAAATCACAACCTCTGGGACAGGAGTCTCTTGTTTCTCCTTTGCTAGCAAAGCAATCAAACTTTTTCCTTTTTCTCAGAAATAAAATGGCTGGGATGACTTATTGGAAACCCATAATCTTAGGAACAGGAGGGTAAACATTAACAATACACATTGAAATCTATCAATCTCAAGAAACTTGATTTAGATGTACTCAAAACACATAAGACATTAGCCATCAGTTAAAAAAGCAAAGGTCGAAAAGAGAAATGTTAGCACAGATGCCATTGGTGATTTGCCAATTATAGGTGATTTATCTGTTCAATCTAAAGTATTGATCTAAAAGTCCATTTATATCTTCAGAGGTACTTAAATAATATAGTGCAAGATTGGGGTACAAAATTCTTTAAAGAATGATGGACAGATAACCTCTGTAACATTGGTTTCCAGGGCTAATACCTTGATTTAATGCTTGGTTAATTAAATCCTTATAGATAAAGTACAAAAATAACCTTCCCACAGCAAATCCTCCATAGAGGAATTTCTGCAGAATTATATTTTATACGGAATAGAAGTCAGATACCATTGAAAACTAAAGATTCTGAAAGTGCTTAATATTGTCTGCAACTAAATTGATATCAAGCTTGGGATTTTTTTTTTTTTTTTTTTTTTTTTTTAGCATTAAGAGCAAAATGTCAGAATAAAGTAATACCAAACCAAATGACTAGACTTAAGTATTTTAAGGGTCTTTTTCTTCTTTATAGGAAAAATGCTTTCTGAAAGCAGTTCATTTTTGAAGGGTGTGATGCTCGGAAGCATTTTCTGTGCTTTGATCACTATTCTAGGACACATTGGAATTGGTCATGGAAATAGAATGCATCACCATGAGCATCATCATCTACAAGCTCCTAACAAAGAAGATATCTTGAAAATTTCAGAGGATGAACGCATGGAGCTCAGTAAGAGCTTTCGGGTATATTGCATCATCCTTGTAAAACCCAAAGATGTGAGTCTTTGGGCTGCAGTGAAGGACACTTGGACCAAACACTGTGACAAAGCAGAGTTCTTCAGTTCTGAAAATGTTAAAGTATTTGAGTCAATTAATATGAAAACAAGTGAAATGTGGTTAATGATGAGAAAAGCTTACAAATATGCCTTTGATAAGTATAGCAACCAATACCACTGGTTCTTTCTTGCATGCCCCACTACATTTGCTATTATTGAAAACCTAAAGTATTTTTTGTTAAAAAAGGATCCATCACAACCTTTCTATCTAGGTCACACTATAAAATCTGGAGACCTTGAATATGTGAGTGTGGAAGGAGGAATTGTCTTAAGTATAGAATCAATGAAAAGACTTAACAGCCTTCTGAATGTCCCTGAAAAGTGTCCTGAACAGGGAGGAATGATTTGGAAGATATCTGAAGATAAGCAGCTAGCAGTCTGCCTGAAATACGCTGGAGTGTTTGCAGAAAACGCAGAAGACGCAGATGGAAAAGATGTATTTAATACCAAATCTGTTGGGCTTTCTATTAAAGAAGCAATGACTAATCATCCCAACCAGGTAGTAGAAGGATGTTGTTCAGATATGGCTGTTACTTTTAATGGACTGACTCCTAATCAGATGCATGTGATGATGTATGGGGTATACCGTCTTAGGGCATTTGGACATCTTTTCAATGATGCATTGATTTTCTTACCTCCAAATGGTTCTGATAATGACTGATAAATGGAAAAAGAGCATGTGTTACTATAGCGGTACATACTTTTTTTTTTTAATCTGGTGGCACTGGTATAATTAGACATTAAAGTTTATTAGTATGTTTTTAAATAGGGTGGTATTTTTTCCTTAAAAGACAATTTAAATGTGTTAAAATGTTTTAAGAATTATTTTGCAAATAAAGGACATATTTATAAATATTTATGTGATAAATTCTAAACATTAAAAATTTGACATATTTTTGCTAATTGGTTAGAAAAATTTAACATGTCTTTTTAACTTTCTAATATATTCAAGTGAAATATCTAGTTGTGAATTTGTGATTAAAGCAAAACTTTTAGCTCTGTATTTCCTTTACTCCTAATGTAGATTTATGTTCTAAGCCACCTCAGGTGCCAGTGGATTTGCCCTCTCAGAATACACAACCAAGCAACCAAGGAAATGTTCTTATCCACTATTAAAGAAAAGTTGAATCCTATCCTTGTGAGAAAATTTAGTGGTATTCCTCAGCATACACAGTTTCTATGTGACTCTGTATTTTGGCATGCAGATACTGAAATTGGAGAAGTGACTATAAAAAATGTAATGTCATTTAACTGTTGTTTCAGTAATCAAGCTCTGAGTAGAAACTTAGATAAAAAGTGAATCAGTTAAAATTTATATATTACTGTTAGGCAAATGAGTTCTGTGGAAGTCTGCAGAATTTGTTTGGGCCACCTGACAGTTTCATTTTAACTGAGTCTTTCATATTTTTTGTTCATTTTTAGTTTTTTTGTACTTGCTCAAATTCTGAAATTTTTCTCATTTAGTGGTTGTACCACACATAACTGTTTTTGCTGTGGAGGCCCTAACCTTGCATCCACATTGCATTACCATACCATTTACCTAATATCAGTGGCTACCCAAAATCTTTACACAGTGGTACCAGATACAACTGTTCCTGCATTACAAACGTGTGAAATACATGGAGCTGATTTGTCCAATAATCTGGCCAGCACATGGTGAATTAAGTCAGATCAATAAGCCCCCATAGGGGCTGGGATTGTGGCTCAGTGGTAGAGCGTTCGCCTAGCAAGAGCGGGACCCGGGTTCAATTCTCAGCACCACATAAAAATAAAGGCATTGTGTTATATCCATCTACATCTAAAAATAAGTAAATAAATATTTTGAAAAAAAATAAGCCCCTATAGGGTATGAGACCATTACATTTTAGGTATCAGTATTTCTTGTAGGGCTGGGGTTGTGGCTCAGAGGTGGAGTGCTCACCTAGCCTTTGTGAGGCACTGTGTTTGAGCCTCAGCACCACATAAAAATAAAATAAAGTGGGTGGGGGTTGTGGCTCAGTTGTAGAGTGCTTGCCTAGCATGTGTGAAGCACTGGGTTTGATCCCCAACACCACATAAAAATAAAAACAAATAAAGGTATCATGTCCATTTACAACTAAAAAATAAAGTTATTGTGTCCATCTATAACTAAAAATTAAATATTAAAAAATATTTCTTGTAGCAGACATCATGATGCTAATGGTCTCCCACAGCTTTAGCAAACTAGAAAGAGAATTTCCTCAGGAGAGCTGTGGGCTTCAAATTATTGATCCTCATAGTAGTGTGTCAAACCCTTTGTTTTAATTACTCTGATCTTCCTCACTGGGACGTTTGGTTAAGATGAAACACTAAAAAAAAAAAAAATTAAAAAGATGAAACAATAATTTTGAATAATAAAACTTTTTTATCAAGCACCCTAATAATATGTGGTTCAGTTGAATTACTGATCAAAATCATGCTCAGTATGGGTACAATGATAAACAATATCTCTCTGAATGTGACACCCTGCTCCCAATACAAATACTTAAAATTTCCTATTTTTTTGTGTTGCCTTCCCTAGAACAATACTATGTTAAAATTTTTCATCTTATTTACATAAGTATATCAATTTATTATAATAAATGTCAGGATGCATTTATTATTTGGTTTGCTAATAAGTGCTAAGGTAATATATTCTTCAAACCAAATCGAGGATCATATTTTTGAACATGAGTATTTTTGTACATGTAATTCTTTGATATTACCACAAATAATGTGCTGTCTCAGCTGGGTATGGTGGAACACACCTGTAATCCCAGTGGCTTCAGGAGGCTGAGGCAGGAGGATGGTGAGTTCAAAGCCAGCCTAAGCAAAAAGCAAGGCATTAAGCAACTCAGTGAGACCCCGTCTCTAAATAAAATACAAAAGAAAAAGGGGGCTAGGGATGTAGTTCAGTGGTCAAATGCCCCTGAGTTCAATCCCTAGTACCAAAAAAAAAAAAAAAAAATTGTCTCATTCAACTCATGTATATACAGTCTTGTAGATAAAATCTGAATCACTGACATAGAATATACTACTACTGAGGTCATGGTTACAGATTTGATCTCCATATATGTTAGTTTACACAGAAAAATAATACATTCAATAGCCAAAAACCGACCCTAACCCTACTCTGTTAATGGGCGAGAATTGGGAAGAATAGATGTTTAACAGAACTTGTGTATGTAAATATACTTCACATATGCCTAGTGGCAAACATTGAACAGCACAGGTCTAAACCAGTTTTAGAAATGAAATTACACATCGCCTATCCTGTAGGTGAGATGTGAAGGTGAGAAAACTTGAAGTTTCTTCCAAAAATTATTTTTCACCTTTTTTTTTTTAATATTTCAAATGTTTTAATTACACTTATTTGACATGGGTTCCTAAATCTGTCCCACTCTATTATTATAACACACCTATGGGACACAAAAGGGTAGGAACAAGCACAGGCAGAGACTCCACAATGACACAAACACCAATATTATCCCTTACCCTGCCCCGTCATATAAGAAAATACATTGCTGATTGAATGATTTCAATGTAATAAGCATAGTCTCTTCATCACAAGAATGCTCCAGGTGATCAGGCTAAACCTGCTTGCTTTTGCCATAAGAAGTATTACTGTCCCTTTCCCTTCACCTTCTGCTTTGTGGGTTGTGAGCAGTCTGGAGTCCAATGTAGGCTGCCCTGGAAAATGAGTCAGGGCTGTTCATTCTCCCAGCTTCCCTGGCTCTGTCGGTGCAGGTCCTGTGGGAAGCCGAAGCCCAGCATGAGAGATTTATTGGGGGAATTGTCTTTGGAGAACACAAGAAGGAGTAGACAGGTAGAGGCTTCACACCTGTTCAAGGAAAAAGGGGTGGAAGGATGGATACAGTGAGGCTCAGATCTCAGCCCTTCTGAGAAAGTTTCCGCTGTGCCAATGGGAAGTCCCTAAGACCCTGAGGTTTCCCATTGAAGAAGCTTCCTGTTGGTTAGGAAGGGAGATTTTGGAGTGGACCCTGCTATGGACCCAAAGGAGTGACTGCTGGAGACATAACCAGTTCTGCCCTCTGTGCAGATGCTCTTGAAGGAAGATCTGAGCAGAGCAGAGCCTGGCCACCAAACCAGCATTATCATCCTTGTTCTGGGGATCAGATCACGTGTCTCCCCTGTCTGAAAGCTTTCAAAGGCTCCTTGTTAGTTGCAGAATAATGTGCAAACATGCATCAAAGGTTTCTGAAACTAAGATTCATTTACATCTACTTTTAGTATATTTCTCCCTGATTCCTGTTCTCCATAGACAAATTCGCACCACAGTCTGGAGATCCAATGCAGTGTGATGCCTTTGAGCTTCTGCTCAAGCTGTTCCTGCACCTTCCCCTCCTTAGCCTCTCCAAATACTGCTCTTCTCTCTACAACCAGACACTCTTCTCCACTGAGCTATCTTTCCTGAGCCATTAACCCAACATGCATCGACTTTTCTTTGTGCTCAGACTCCATATTGTGCAAATGTCTATTTGAAGTGATTTCATTTTACATCTTTTCTTCCAAGATCTAGAAAACAGGAACTATATCCGTAGGATCCTCCCAGGTTGTGCTTGTACCAGTGATAATTTGATAAGTGTTTTTGGAAATAAATGAACCCACATGTAGGAAAGAACATTAGTTTGTTAGGAGAGGGGATGGGACCAGAACGCTGGAACTAATTCAGGAATTTCAAAGACATTTCTGCATACAGCCTCATTGAATTCTCTTTGCTTCTCAAGTCCCTTTCCTGGAACTTGAACCAGATAGTGGCCAGAATGGTAGAGAGGTAAGGGGCAGGGAAGCAAGTAGATCTTCCTTTTTATACAGCCCTTTGAGAGCACAGCTCCAGAGAGAATCAAATCTGCCTTTTTTTTTTTTTAATCTCTATTTTTTATTCCTTTTTTTAAAAAAATTTTATTGTTGGTTATTCAAAACATTACATAGTTCTTGATATATCATATTTCACCCTTTGATTCAAGTGGGTTATGAGCTCCCATTTTTACCCCATATACAGATTGCAGAATCACATCAGTTACACATCCATTGATTTACATATTGCCATACTACTGTCTGTTGTGTTCTGCTGCCTTTCCTATCGTCTACTATCCCCCCTCCCCTCCCCTCCCCTCTTCTCTCTCTGCCCCCTCTACTGACATTCATTTGTCCCCCTTGTATTATTTTTCCCTTTCCCCTCACTTCCTCTTGTATGTACTTTTGTATAACCCTGAGGGTCTCCTTCCATTTCCATGCAATTTCCCTTCTCTCTCCCTTTCCCTCCCACCTCTCATCCCTGTTTAATGTTAATCTTCTTCTCATGCTCTTCAACCCTACTCTGTTCTTAGTTACTCTCCTTATATCAAAGAAGACATTTGGCATTTGTTTTTTAGGGATTGGCTAGCTTCACTTAGCATAATCTGCTCTAATGCCATCCATTTCCCTGCAAATTCTATGATTTTGTCATTTTTTAATGCAGAGTAATACTCCATTGTGTATAAATGCCACATTTTTTTAATCCATTCGTCTATTGAAGGGCATCTAGGTTGGTTCCACAGTCTTGCTATTGTGAATTGTGCTGCTATGAACATCGATGTAGCAGTGTCCCTGTAGCATGCTCTTTTTAGGTCTTTAGGGAATAGACCGAGAAGGGGAATAGCTGGGTCAAATGGTGGCTCCATTCCCAGCTTTCCAAGAAATCTCCATACTGCTTTCCAAATTGGCTGCACCAATTTGCAGTCCCACCAGCAATGTACAAGTGTACCCTTTTCCCCACATCCTCGCCAGCACTTGTTGTTGTTTGACTTCATAATGGCTGCCAATCTTACT